TTGACCAGGATGGTCTCGATCTCCTGACCTCGTGATCCACCCGCCTCGGCCTCCCAAAGTGCTGGGATTACAGGCTTGAGCCACCGCGCCCGGCCTGGTAATAGGAAATTTTAAAAGGACTTTATTAAAGAGTGCTATGGTTAAAAGTCAGGTTAATTAAAGGTGGATATTCATACTCTAACAGCCTGGAATCCAGGGGAAAAAGAGGAGGCACCAGAAACCCTTTTCCTGGCCCTGTTCGTCCAAGGACTCCATTATAAAGCCAGTAACCAATTAAGAAACTTAAAAACCGGCAAATGAAAACTCTTAAAACTACTATAGTGATCTTCTTCTGTTCGTCTGTTTAATTATATGTGTTGTGTGTAATGTTTATATAAAAGAGCTCTAATTTATTGGCTTAAACAAAAATAAGCGCCTAAGTCAAATATTTTGAAAGCAAAATGAAAATTGTAATGCCTTTTAGTTCATGTAACTTTAGTCATCTTTGGGAAATAAAAACAGCTTTAAAGATTATTGATAAAGACATTTTGTCTAAATTATATAGGTCAGATATTAGGTTTGCTATATGCTTTAAGGTCATAAACTGCATTGACTTTTGAAAATTGTTCAATTTATTTTGGAGACATTACATTCTAAATAAGGCCTGGGGATATATGGAATTAGCCATGTCCCCTAGCTATGCAAAGGTTATAAAGAAAATAGATTGTATATCAGAAAGGATGTGGTATGGTAAATTCTTGTCCTAAAGTAAAATGGTTGTTTAAAAAGAGGGATGTTTAGGGAAAGTTAGAAAGTCTAAACATGTCGTACATTTTGTAAGTCATGAAATAATTTATGAAAAGGAATTTTTGCCAGAAACGTTGTACAATTTAAAGGTGATTAGGCCTCCTAAATGCTTCGTAAAATGTCACTGTGACTCTTAAATGTACAGCCTGCCTGCTAATTTACAGCTAGGTAAGGCCTGGGATACCTAGAGTTAGATGTTGGAAAGAGTCACACCTTATCTGCATTTCTGTCTGGGTCCTGGGCTCTACACATTGTACATAATTAAAATCCCTTACTTACAAAGGTTTTCACCAAAAGTAAAAAGTTGCTAAGAGTTAACTTTGTAATATGTAATCGAGACTACTGAAAAAATAAGTTTACAGGCAAGCTGTGTAAGGAGAATGAAATGTGTTTTTTTGTAAGAGATTATAAGAAAATACAGGAATGTAAATTTTTGCCTAGGTTAGAGGGTTAAAGGATTGTTTGAAATTAAATAAAAGTAAAGGTTTGAACAAGTTGTGGAAGGTTTATAAAAATTAGTTATAAGAGTTTCTATGTGTGAACATATCAGCTAAAGTTAAAATGGCATTATTCACTTTTTTCTTATAGACATTGGAATAAAAGCACAACAGAGTTTTCTTAGAAGATTGCTCTGCTCTGAGAAAAATAATAGTGAAGGTTATAAAGGGTTTATAAAAATCTTACCTATGGTCAAACTAATTAAAACTTAGCCGGGCACGGTGGCTCACGCCTGTAATCCCAGCACTTTGGGAGGCCGAGGCGGGTGGATCACGAGGTCAAGAGATCGAGACCATCCTGGTCAACACGGTGAAACCCCGTCTCTACTAAAACTGCAAAAAATCAGCTGGGTGTGGTGGCGCGTGCCTGTAATCCCAGCTACTCAGGAGGCTGAGGCAGGAGAATTGCCTGAACCCAGGAGGCGGAGGTTGCGGTGAGCCGAGATCGCGCCATTGCACTCCAGCCTGGGTAACAAGAGCGAAACTCCATCTCAAAAAAATAAATAAATAAATAAAATAAAACTTAATAGGTTTATAAAATGTTATTAAAAACTAGCTTTAAAAAATTAAAAATACACTAATGGAAACATAAAATTTGGTTTTCACTTTTAAAAAGGATTATTTAATATTAAAAGATAATAAAAGGTTTTTGTTTACCTTTTAAGTAAACTACAAAAAAAAAAAAATAGTGGGAGAGGAAAGAAAGGAGACAGTCAGTTGGCCTCATGCCATCTTCAGTGTGTCTTGTTTAGAAAGCTGAGTCTCCTCTCTATCACAATAATGTTTTTTCCTTTAAAAATTGTTAAGTTATTTCGGCTACATGAATGACTTATGGTAACCTAAGATTCTATGTTGTAATATCCAATGTTTTAAACTTTTGGTAGTTGACAAACCTTTCAAAATCAAGCTCTAGATTATCATGCTAAATCAGCCAATATTAAAATTGTTTAAATACACAGTTTGAATGGTCTAAGTCAAATTACCTATGATAACCCATTAGTTGTCAGTGCTATGCACCTAAATTGGAGAAACAATTGGTATTCAAGAGGACGTAAGTCCAACGTTAAGCATGGACAGCCACCTTATCCTTCTTGAGTCCTTAAAACTTTTGTTATTAAAGGTTCTGGAAAAAATAAAATAATCCAAATTGAATATATTGATGTGGTAACTTATAAATTGCGGAAATAGTTTAAATCCAATGTTTGGTGCTGGCTTTGGCAGCACGTATACTACAATTGGAACGATACAGAGAAGATTAGCATGGCCCCTGAGCAAGGATGACACACAAATTGGTGAAGCGTTCCATATTTAACACTGGCTCGGAGAGCAACAGTGCAACAGTGGGGGAGCCACCAACAGATCCCATACCAGAAGATGAGAAAAAAGAATAAATGTTGCTTTGTTTTATGTGTTCTAAATACTTTTTTAAGTGAAAAAATGTTTTTTGGTTTAAAAAAAGAATCCAATGTTTGTTTTCATATTCCTGGAAAGACAGTCGAAGCTTCAGATGCATTTGGCTACCTGATGGGCCATTTAAACATTTATAAAGGGATTTCATTTTATTGTCATTTTCAATGCATGTTTTCTGGTTGTATAAAAGATTTCCTGTGAAACAGGGCTGATGTTATGACAGTAGATTATAGTATATTTTCACCAGGCAGAGAAAGCTTTTTAGATTCACAGAGGACAATCCCTTCACAATCTAGAACCTGAAGATTGGATCTTCTGAGAACATCAGAGAGAAGAAAAACTGTCCTTGCTATCCACACTAGAGGAAAACTTTGGAGCCTTAAACCTTGGGTTCATAATCTCACAACTGAGAAGGGTCCCTCCACACTCCTGGAACTGTACACCCACTGGAACCCTTAAGGTAAAACTAACCAAAAGGTTTCTCCCCAGAACAAGATGACATCCTTGATGTGAACAGCTTTTCCCAAGATCATGAATCAAAACTGCTAATATCACAAGACTCATTGAATATTTTTTCCTTGTTTATGCCTCTATGAACAATAGAAATTAAAAAGGGGTCTATTATGTGCACTTATAGGGTATACTTTTATTTGTGAAGGATTTTGCAGCTAGCCTTTTACATGAATAACCTTATCCTTCAATAGATAAAAGATGAAGGCCCAATGTAGGTAACAAATTTTCGTGGTACATATGTTGTCTCATAATCAGTCAAACCTCCTGTTAACCCACATCATGGATTAAAGAGAACATTGACAAGAGGCCTTCACTCTTCTAGAAAGACATCATTTGTTAGGTCTTTTTTCCATGGTTTAGAATAAAAGAGGCAATAATTTGAAATGTCTCTTTCATAATAGGCTCTACAGCAAATTCCACTTTAAAGGCTATCGTTATGCAACAGACTTTAAATTCTCTTGTGAACATAATGCTAAGTAACAGAATTGGCTAAACAGAGAAGTACCTTCGCAGCTGCTGCCACTGTGGCCCATGGAGAAATACATCAAATGTAAGTTATAAAAAATTCTGGCCGGGCACAATGGCTCACATCTGTAACTGCAGCACTTTGGGAGGCAGAGGCAGGTGGATCCCCTGAGGTCAGGAGGTTGAGACCAGCCTGGCCAACATGGCAAAATCCCATCTCTACTAAAAATACAAAAATTAGCCTGGAATGGTGGCAGTTTCCTACAATTTCAGCTACTCAGGAGGCTGAGGCCAGAGAATCACTTGAACCCAGGAGGTGGGGGTTGCAGTGAGCTGAGATTGTGGCACTGTACTCTAGTCTGGGTGACAGAGCGAGACTCTGTTGCAAAAATAAGCAAATAAAAGTAAATAAAAATTCAGTTGTAGGGAATTAATGAAAAGACCACTTAGTCAAGCAAGTAGACTCTTCATCTAGCTCATTCTTTAATCCAATTAATTTTAGGTAGTTTGGCTTATGGGGATCCTGGTAAGGAACATACTTCAAACTCTTGCTGTTATCCTCCTGATAATCATAATAATAGTCTCCCTGGTGTACTGTATTTTCTCAAAGGTTTTAAATGCTTTCAAGCAGCCATCTCTAGAATGTCAAATGGTCTCGCTTCAACCGGAATTACAAAAGCTGAAAGAAATGTGTGACCATGAGGGCACTGTAACCTAGCAATGACATGCTGAGACCGGAAACCTAAAATGATGGTAACTGAGACTGGCACTAAGGCCCTAAGTTCTGGTCACACTGTTATCTAATTAAGAACCTGGTCAAAAGGAGGTAATTCTTTTTTTAAACAAAATTATGGGAGGCCATTATTTTGGATTGAGCTCATGCACTGGACCCCAACAAATCAAACTAAAATAGAGTCACTCATGCTAAATGTGACATAAGCTAATGCTTTAAAAAAAACGCATGCATGCTAGAACAGACCAGGTTTTGTTTTTCTCCCATAAACAGGATGTTTCAGTGTAAGGAGGTACCCTCTAATCGGTCCTTATAATCTCCTTGCAAAACCCACTGTTATACGGTTTCCCAGTGGGTTTTAAAACCATATAGATACATTTACAACAGTCATAGTAACATCAGTGACTAAGGTTTTCGTCAATCTCTCAAAATGGAGAAAATGACCAAAAGCGGGAAATTGTTAAGGCAAACTAAATATGGCCCGAGAAGGACTCTGTCCTTCTATATTTGATTCCTTGTGGATGGACTATAACTTAGCTTATAGACAAAATTGAAAACCTAGCTTAATGGTATACACCAGTAACAATAACAGTGGTGGCCAATCCCAGTGGCTGTATTTCAACCACTCATAACCGGCTGAATGCTCAGACTGCTTCAAATAAGGCGAACACCGAGCCGTGACCAATATTGCTGTTTCTGAACCTCACTTCCTATTCCTGTACCTCACTTTGCCTTTTTTGTCTATAAATTTGTTCTGACCACCAGGCACCCCTAGAGTCTGAATCTGCCGCGATTCTGGGGGTTGCCGGATTCGCGAATCATTCATTGCTTAAACTCCTTTAAACTTAATTCAGCTGCAGTTTTTCTTTTATCAACACAGTAAGCTCTCAGTAATGAGTGGGCTGAGTGTAAACTGGAGGGATTTGTTTGATTGTCTTTTACTCTAAGAGTAGGAGCTCCTGAGGGAAGGGGATGCTCTTCATTTACGTATCCCTTTTACTCCCATCCTTCACGCCTGACACACTGCCTGGCACGTATTAGGGACTCAGTAAATGCTTGTTCAGTGAATCAGTTCAGCTATGAAGTCTGTGTTAGTCAGTCCAGGTAAATAATGGAGACAAGGATTTACGACTGAGGCGAAAGAGCCGGAGCGGCAGAAGGACGCCAGGGGGAGCAAGAACCTGCAGTCTTCGGATATCGCGAGAGCTCCCGCGCTCTCCACAACACTGCTTGTTCTGTTTTGGGCGGAAGCGCTAGTCCAGAGGAGGAACTACTCTTGAGGGGCAAGGCCTTGCCAATGGCGTGCGGGTTGCTTCCGGGTCGCACTCCCGGAAGCAGGAAGTTGCCCATCCTCCTCGCCCGGCGGCCGCTGTCCCCGAGGCGGGAGGAGCCCGAGGGGGCGCGGGCCCCGCATGTGAGTGACTGGGGCCCGAGGCTGGGTGGGGGGAGGCCGCCCTGTGACAGCCTCGCCGCCGCGCCCGTCTCTAACATCCTCGTGCAGCCACCCCTCGCCGCTGTTACCACTCTCTGTCCCAGCTCTGATCCGTTTTCTGAGCCTCTCCAGTTTCGTAGATTGACAGCATCCCCTGGCAGCTCCCCCGGGGTCGACTCCCTTTAGACATCTGTCACTTTCCTTGACTCCGCCGGGAAGAGCAAAACGAGGCCGACCTTGTTTGAACTTGTTTCTCAGGCATCACAGCAGTGTCCAAAACTTGAGCGTTGGTAACGAAGTCCAGATTTCTGCCTTTTTGATGGAATTTTTAAGAAATTGAGAATAGATTCCCCACCCCCTTCTGAATCATCTTTTTCTAATAATTGTTAGGGGGCAATAATATTTTTAAGTGTGTACTTGGTATGTGATAAACCTGGCATCCTGGATTTAAGAAAGAAATATGACTTGGTTTATTGACACATAAAATTGTTGTTTGTAATCACTTCGTAGAAGGAAATTTACCTGCGTCGTGTTTTGTAGTACTTTAAGACTGTTAACTGTGCAGGCCACACTTTTTCTAGTCTCAGAGCCCTCGTAGCCTTAGTATTCGCAAATACGTTTCTTTTTCAAGTGTTTAGTCATCAGTCACCTTATAATAGAGACTACTTCCAGATGCTTAGTATTCTGACTTTTCTGATTGCTCATTTGGTAGTTCTTGTGGAATCTTCTGTAGACGTCTCTCCCTTAATAAATCGTTTATTTGAATTTGAGTTGTCAAAATTTCCCTCTAGGGAACAACGTGCCTTTAAAATAATAACTAAATTCAATTTTGCTGCATTGAGGTTTTGACTAAAGGTTCACATAGCCCAACTTGCCTACCAGAAAGAGGTCCTGATTCCCTGTCAGACCTTTTCTACTTCGACTGAAACATTTTTCAAGACCTGCTTTGAATACCTGTTCCTCCACAGCTACTCCACACACCAAAAACAATGTCCAAGTACTAGATTCCTAACCTGCTCACGTTAAACACTCATCACATTGATGCTTCCTCTGCATTTTTAAAAGAGAATAAAAGAATAAAGCATAAAATGAATAAACCATGACTTACATTCAATTAGTTTGGAATGATAGTTTGGAATGATGACTTTAGGTCCTTTCTATAAATTTGTTCAACATTAATCTGATTCCATGTCTGAGATGAATTCTCACGGCTGTTCGTAGTTTTTTATGTTTTCTCCGTTTATCTCTGCTTTCAAGAAGCACTATTTAGGGTGGGAGGTAGACAGGAAAATAGATGTAGTACAAAGCCATAGAGGTTCATAGGACAAAAACTGAGGTCAGAGTCTTAAAGAGTTCACTTATTGGACAAAGCACTGGAGACTAGGCTTTTTCGGCAAAGTTAATTATTTGTGTATTCAAAAGCAAAAATATGTGAAACAGTATGACTCTATAGAATGTGAGGAAGGATTAATGGGAAATGAAACTGAATAGGTAGGCAGTGACTAGATCATAAAGGACCATGGTAAGTAATTTGGACTTTATCTTTAAAAAAAAAAAAGAAAAAAAAGCAAAAAGACAGGGTCTCACTCTCTCACCACTTTGGAGTGCAATGGCACGATTATGGTTCACTGCAGCCTTGAACTCCTCGGCTCAAGCTACCCTCCCACCTCTGCCTTCTGCGTAGGTGGGACTACAGGTGTGCACTACATACTTGGCCAATTTTTATTTTTTATTTTTTTCTAGAGACAAGGTCTCACTA